GAAGCCATCCTTGTTTGGATTTTGGCTACCGGGTCTTGGATTGAATATAGTCGGTACAGGTCAGCTGTAGGTGTGTGGCCGACGTGTGCAGGCTGATTACCGAGCGTATCTTGTGTGCATACCAGCCTCTAAGATGCCTGGCCGTCTCCTCCGTGAGGCCGACTTCGGGGAGTCCCGTGACCAAGGGTGAAGCAGACCTTTAGCCTGGCCATTGGCCCCGCGGTGCGGCGATTGTAGACGAATCGCTTGACCTGCTGGAGCTTTTTGGCAGCCTCCGCTATGCGGAATCGCAGCGTCTGCATTTCAAAGTTCCCATAGGAAATTTGGATGCCCAGGTACTTGATTTGCGCCTCAAGTTTGTATGCAGGGAAGGATCTGTGCTTGCCCAGTCGCCAATGCCGCTGTAGTGTGCCCGTCGAGTCGGGCAGCCAGCAGGTGTGCTTCTGAAGCACGGCTTCCGCCTCTCTGCCGTTAAGCTTGACTAGCATGGCACATTTGGCCGGGTTGACGCGTAATCCCAGTTTCGTCACCTCCGACAGAAGCTGTAGGATCATCTTGTGAGCAGCGTCCACGTCTGCTTGGCTGCGGATGGTGCGATGCATGGTGAAGTCGTCCGCGTAACCTGTAAAGTATCTGCGGACATTGTCCCAGCCAAATGCGTCTATCAGTCTATGAAGGAGGCGGCCTGTGAGCACGGAAAACAGCGTGGGGGCCAACTTGCAGCCTTGTTTGATGCCAGTGGTAGTTTCCACGTCCTTGTAGGCCCCCTGAGAATGAAGTCTGTATTTAGATCGATGATGAAGGCCGTGTATGAGTTTCTTAAGCGGGGGATCCGCGCCCAGCTCATCTAGCAGGGACAAGATCTCACTTCGGGACACAGTGTCGAATGCCTGTGACAGGTCTAGTGCGAAAGTGATGCCGCCGACGAGACCTACAGGACATTGTCCCCGCTGCTGATCCGCTCGGGTGAGATTCGCATTGCGACAGAGCTGCCTTGCTTCCCTTAAATGCTGAACCACTCTGCTCTGTGCATCCGAAAGACCTCTCCCAGGGAGGTATGCAAACTGGGGTAGAGGCTTCATGTATGGCAGCGTGAAAGGCTCCAGGAGCTCCTTGGCCGTGCCCGCCAGTCCTTTAGCATCCGGGCGAAGAATGCCCAGCGGCCTGAGTTGTGAAGGCTTGTCAGCCGGCTTGCCCGGTTTTGGGATTAAGCAGAGATCTGCGCGAGTCAGATCGTCGTCCAGTGACTGGTCCTGCGTCAGGCTTGAACAGTATTGTGAAAGCGCCGCAGAGATCGGCTGAGCACAGAGCTTCCAGGCTGCGGCCGGTGCCGCTCCTTTCGGAACTGCCTTGCTAGGCTTGATCGAGGCAATATGTTTTGCTAACTTGGTCTGTGGCAATAGGGGCAGGAGTCCCGAATCAGACGGGAGCTGTGGGTGCGCCGCAAAGACCTTAGTTGCATACTTCCCCAGTTCATCCAGTTCGTTTGCAGGACTGAGCAGGAAGCCGTGCGCGTCCTTAAGCTGAGCTTTCAAAGCCGGTTTCCACGGCCGGAGGTGCTTAAGAGTCTGATATGCCAGGTGCTGATCGCCCTGGCTCAGAGCCTGATCAACCTCAGCAAGAAACCGTTTGGTCTGGTCCTTGCGAGCCTGCTTAACCGCCTGTTTATGCTGATCACACAGCCTCTGCCGGGCTTCATCCTCCGGCGATGGCTCCGCACTGGGTGAGCATTCCTCCCACGTGCCGAGCGCCACATGCGTCTGGCAAGGCTCGTCTCCGGACTATCTGGCATTGCCACTGGGGTCTTAGGGAAAAACCTGGATGCGGCTTCGCCAAGGAGGCGATCCCATGACGCCGGCTGCATGTCCGGAGTGAGTCGTGCTGTAACCCACTCGAGCATGTGCTGAGCTGGCAGCGTGTTGTCCCTGACAGCCGCTTGCAGAGCAGCGGTGTCATAATGATGCTGCTGTATCTGAGGGGCTGGCAGGTTCCAGTGCCGAACTGGTTTGACAGCTGCACTGATGGGTAAGTGCCCGCCTTTCTTCCAGCTTCCAAGCGGGAAAGCTGCCAGCGGCGTAGAGTTTTTGGCAGCTCCTCCAGCAGAGACCTCCCTCGTAAGCACAAAGTCAATTTGAGTGCGCGTATCCCCTTGCTGAAACGTATGTGGCGGCTGAGGCCTCCACGTGTTGAGGGCAACCAAGCGATGATTAAGCAGAAAGTTGGTAAGCTCTGGCTCATCAGATCTCGGTTCCTGTGGGCTAATGATCTCTGGACCAACCAGCCTAGGCTGCTTTTGCAAGGAACTATTGAAATCTCCTGCCAGGATAAGCGTGTCCCTGTGCGGCACGCGTTGCACGCATCTGCTAAGAGCCTTCAGGACATGTGCTCTGTCCTGACGATTGGTCTGTACCTGCTTGGCCGGTGACCAGACGTGTTGATACACAGCAACCAGGTTGATGCGGGCCCCGTGCCAGTCAAACCTGACCTCCAGGGCTCTGCCTATGACATGTTCCTGCCAGCGCACACTTTTGGGCAGTATGTGTGGGGACAGGAAAACCATAACCCCGTCCGCGCGAGTTGTTGAGGGCTCCTTGCGGGGTGGGGTCATCTTATCGTCATTAGGCATTGCCTCTGCAGGTGACTGTTTATGGGCCTTGCCCCCGCGTTGCTTTCGTCTAGAGGCCTTCGGATCTGCAGCAGAAGCAGACGAGATGCAGTACCAGCCTGCAACACTAAATTCGGCCGTAGCCTGCCAGTGGGTCTCCTGCAGGACGAACACATCACAGGTGTGGTGTGCCTCAGTGGAGAGCCATGATTTGACTTCCGACCATTGTTGCTGGCCAAGATGGCCTGCATTCCAGGACAGTACTCGGAGAGGCCTGGTGGCCTGTCCTGCCCGAGATCGTGGTGCAAAAGACTGCTTGGAGCCCGGCTGCGGTGGGCAGTTGCCCATGCGCCTGAGAAGAGCTGGGGTCAGAACCTGACCTCGGTAAGAAACAGGCTGCTGGCTTGCAGCCACCTGTCGGCAAACATGCTTGAAAGAATTCTTCCTGATCTGAGAATAATTTTGTGAGTGCACTGGGAGCAGCGCCATCCGCTATTTCGTCACAAGGCAAGCCGAGTGACTCCCTCCACCACGCGGCTAGTGGAAACCCTACCGCCTGCCCAGTGGGCCCGTGTTGAGACAGGGTACTGGGTCCAGGAATTGGGACCTGGCGGCTCAGACGCAAACTGTTGGCACATGGCACATGGCTCAGCGTGAGGAACCAACCCTTAGTCGTTCGGAGAGAGGCCTGTTTGAGACCTCTAGCAACGCAAGGTTGGAACCCAGAGCCTGTTCGAAAGCCAGCGCGAAACTTCCAAAACGTCTGAGCCGTGGCGGCTCTACTACTCTACTACTACTACTACTACTACTACTACTACTACTACTACTACTACTACTACTACTACTACTACTACTACTACTACTACTACTACTACTACTACTACTACTACCTGTAGTACCTGTAGTAGTAGTAGCAGCAACAGCAGGAGTAGTAGTAGTAGTAGTAGTAGTAGTAGTAGTAGTAGTAGTAGTAGTAGTCGTCGTCGTAGTGGTAGTCGTAGTAGTAGTAGTAGTAGTAGTAGTAGTAGTAGTAGTAGTAGTAGTAGTGGTAGTACTAGTAGTAGTAGTAGTAGTAGTAGTAGTAGTAGTAGTAGTAGTAGTAGTAGTAGTAGCAGTAGGAGTAGTAGAAATAGTAGTAGTAATAGTAGTAGCAGCAAGTACTAGTAGCAGTTGTTGTAAAAAGAGTTGCGGTGATGGTTTGAGTAGCAGTAGTGATACTAGTCAATGCCCGCAACAATTGTATAGTCGTAGCAGCAGTGGTGTAGAAATAATCGTCGTCGTAGTAGTAGTAGTAGTAGTGGTAGCAGCAGCTGCTGCAGTAGCCCAACGCCTGAACAGCAAGCCCTCAACGAAAAGCCCTAACCCTAAAACCTACACCCTGAAGCCCGGCCTTCAGATGTTCATGGGGCTGCACCTCGGTCATCTGCAGAACCAGCTCCATGGCCACTGTGTACATGGGGAAGAGCATCACAACCTGAAGGTTTAGGGTTTAGGGTTTCACCCTTCCTGTGAATTCTCATCAGCAGACTTCAACTTTGAGTCAGAGAAGCACAGCTTTAGAGCAACTTGAAATGGTGAGTGCAAACCCATGAAGGATCTTTACATGCAAGATCGTAACAAGGCCGAGCCACACCATTGTCATCAGGCAACGAAGTGGCATAGTGCTCCAGGTTTGTCAAGGGCTTTCCCGACTTGCAAAGATACATGGGCACGAGTCGCAAAGCCACAAACAAATGTGCGCACTGCGAGCGTTGAGCCGAAAAACTGCTTCAAGCCAAGATTTCAAAAAGTCTGACATGCCCCCAACCACGTACCTGCATTCAAGGTAACATAAAACTTACAGGTGCCCTCAGAAGTCTGTCCTCGTAAACCGTAAAAAACCTAAAGTTGCCGCCGCTACTCTTGTGAGGTTGACGTGGCCGGATGTGGCCACGACCTTCGGGAGTGTGGACCGATCTTAATGTTGCTGCGAATTGCAGGGAATGTGGGTATGTGGCAGCCCACATGTTCAGTTTCTTTGCAAGATGCCTGCAGCGCCGCACCATGCTTTGTTTGCTGGCTTACTGAAACCAGTGTCTGAGCATCTTTCGCACCCGCCTTGCTTTACAACCGACGAACGCAAGCAGCCGCACCCGGTGGATTTGCGCAGGAAACATGAAGTTCGGAGGCTCTGAAGCCAAGACATCCTACCACTCTCGGTTTGTGCCGTTGCATGCCAGAAACTGCTCGTCCCCAAGAGTCCGAACAAGAAGCCAAACCTACCCCGGGGCATTCTCATTTGTCGTAGTTACTTCATAAGTTTTCTCTTTTTCCCTTTTTCCCGGGAGCCAAGGATTGGCTCAGAGATTTTCTTCAACCGACCGTACTATCCTTATCCGGAGCCCGACAGGCCTCGCTAAAGTAACACTGCATCCATCAACATGCCAAAGCCTGTCTTCCGGATGGTGATCCGCACAATGTGCATCAGCCGATCACGTGGTGTCCAGCCTGTGCTCCAGCCCACACAAGTATGAACCACACTGTAAACGACAAGCGGAATGTGCACATGAAGCACCACTGCGGTGTACGTAATGCATGCATGCACACGCAGGCAAGCAGACAAGAAGGTACGTAGGGACGTAGGCAAACACGACAATGCTGGGCGGGGGTTAGCAAGAGAACGAACCTGCAGCAGACGCAAACACACGTGCCCATCGATGCTTTTTGCGTTGCATCTATCCTCGACGTCGGCAGGGCTCCTCTCTAGGACGCTCCTAGAATCTCTGTTCAATGCAGCTGAAAGAGGCTCCAGCTCAGAGAACGGCTCGGTTTCCTGGGCCCCCGCGCCGATGTTCGCGCCGGCCTCCCCGTCCACCCCGGCGAGGCCTCCCTCGACACCAGGGCGGAAGTTCAGGGTCTTCAGGACCTGAAGTGCGGCGTGTGTTAGGAGTCTAGGGGTTTGGGGCTGTGGCGCTGAAGAGCCCAGGGGTTGCTCTTGGCCTGAAGGACTAAACTTTCGATGGTGAAAACCAATATTCAGGCGAAGACGGGTTTCCGAAGAGCAGTCTGTGCGTGGGATATGACTGCACACTGACTATGACTACACCGCAGCCCCATGCTGAAACCTTAAACCAGAGGGTTGCGGCACGACTAAAACCCCATTGATATTTTGGGGGCTCCTTATAATCATCATAGTATAAAAAACCCAAAACCCTATTCTGACTATTAAGAGACAACGCAGTCAAATTCAGCTGGGAGGCCCCCTTGGAACAGATTCGAATGGCCGTCGCAGCCGCTCCGAAGTCGTTTCCAAAGTATCCTGCTACACTTGAGAGGCTATAATAGACTGCCACATATATATATATATATATATATATGTAACTACATATGTATGTATATATGTATATAAAATGTATATGTTTGTGTGTATATGTATATATATATATACGGTTATATGCCACAAATGTATTTCAGTTTGCTTTACTACCAGTACACTCTGTCGGCTGCGGTGGGTTCCGGCGCTGCAAATGATTTTTGGGCTTCGCGGCTCGAACTGATTGCTGAGGCCTAGGGAGGTTTCAGGACTTTTCAAGCCTGCTCTCGATGTGCTCGTCTAAGCCTCGTAGAATGCGCCCTAAACCTCCGAACCCGGCCACTGGACCGAACTTGGCTCCTGCTTCGACCTCCACGACAAACTCCTTCGGATAGGGCCATGGTTAAGTTCAGAGATGGGCTCCGGGGCTGCTTGGAAGTCGAGAGTGGCCCTTGCGAAAATTGGAGGGGTCAAGGCGGCTACAGCGGTCAGGGGTTCAGGCTTCAGCGGCTTCACCTCCAGCAAATCCATCTGTGACTTTCTGCAGACCCCGGAACCGAAAAGAAGGCTCATCAAGATATCGAAACAATGTTCGAACCAACTAAGCTCACCAAAAGCATCGAAGGGTGACAAAATGATCCCACCAAAGCACACAGTCACAACCTGTAAACATAAGATCCCGGACCTGCGACCCTCAATCGGCCGCGGCATCCCCAGTTAGACTGCATCCAGCCCTTTACGGCATGGCCTCGGGTTCCATGGTGTCGATTGCAAGGTCCCCGTCGGCTTGCTTTGCCGCATCGGCCTGAGGCTTCCGCTCAGAGGCTTCTAATTTGGAGAGACCAGGGCTCCTTACCTTACCTTTGGTTAGTAGGGAATGGAGGAATGGGGTACAAATATAACTGCTATTAGTATACAATTCCACCATTCCCTACTAACCAAAAGTAAGTTACGGCACAACCGGAGATCAACAAACATCTGCCTTGTAGCGGATGCGAAGCCGGCGTTCGCCCGTTGGAAGCCGCTTTGGCGGAATGCCATCCTCCACACAGCATCGCAGAGCATGGTCCGTTTCGGATGCTGCCTGTTAGTAGCGACTTACGGGGTTCAGTGTTCACAAGGCTTGTTAGGGATCCATGACCCTGTCAAGCTTAGTCTGACCGGACTCGACTGCGTCATGTTCATGTCCCGAACTGCCCTCGGCACCACCCCCAACTAACCCCACAATCCCAAAGTGAAAGTCCCGGACCCAAAACCCCCAAACCAAATTCCCTCCATCGAATAGCCCTGTATCTTGACCCTCTCTCTCTCTCTCTTGCCTCGACGACCACGGCATTGGCAGGAAGCCGGCACAACTCCTTCGTTTGAGAACCAGAGGGTTTCGGATTTGAGAACAAAGTCCTCTAGGATGATGGCAAGTACGGGCAGCTGCATCCAGGTTTTGTGCCTTGAGAACGAGGTCTAAAACCCGACAGCCGCAACCTCACAACCTCGATTATCCTTCAGCGCAAGCAGAACAGCTCCCCACACTTCCGCACTGATTTCAATTCAAGCCCAGCTCAGCATTCGTTACCATGAGTACCCTACACCTACACCCTCAATCTGCCACTCCTTTTATGTCCACGAAACCCGAGTCTCCCCTCTGTGAATCCTTGGAGTTGGGATCCGCTTCCGCATTCACCACGAGACCGTTCTCTTTGGTCAGCACCTGGCAACAGGCCGGGGCATTGAGCCCCTTCAACCCTGGAGCTCCGAAAATGTCGAAGCTCCCTGCATTCCCGAGCCGCAACCGCTAAGCCCCAGCCTTCCACTTGCGCTTGTGCGGCTTGTCTTCAGCGACCTTGCCACACGCAGAAGAAGCTCAGAAATCCTTCGAAGACACCCAACAGTCCTAAGCGGTTGAGTATGCCAGCAAACCGGCCGCTACTCTGCACCATTGCTTCTCGGGTCGACTCCAACACGTGCATCTCAGAATCAACTGGGCACAAGACAACACAAAGCTCGTCGGTGGAGTGCGGATCTGGAAAGCTCGCCTGGAAGAGCGACCTGAGTTGTGGGTAGAATCTGGTAGAAGAATCCTATGCATCTGGAGAGACGGTGGCCAAACAGAAGGTGCACTAGGATGAAGCAAAACATCTCATCCGATACCAAACAAGCGGCACATTCACACCTCCGACACATTCCTTAAGCAGAAGGTTAGGAAGCTGATTAAGCACGAACAAAGGCCAAATAAGGTGCGTAAGGGGAGCTACAGTGCAGATACGTCATGCGATCACTGTTCTCGTATCCTGCCACCGGATGGCCAACAGACTTCCACAGAAAACGTGACAGCATTGACAAGCTCTGCGCCACCCCGGCCAAACGTTGCAAGCGCCACCGCGCTAAAAAGGAGTTCCCATCGACACATCTCCCCTGCCAGGGCCCCGAGCCAGGGAGAATCTCCCAGTCGTCTGTGGCTGTCTGCAAGGCGAACCTGCTTCCGGGGCACCGCTTTTGATAACCCGTCTCGCTGATGGGTATCCCCGATAGGAGAACACGTAGATGCCCGCTTCGACAGCAAGCGCACTTGGTAGGCGAATGCTGCATCACAACCCACAGGCCCATCCAACGACACCTTCAGGTACTGCACACAGTACCCAAATCCACACCCATGCCCACAAGGGTCTTCGAAAAGTTGAGTCCCCAAGACCAGGTGGATCCCGCCACGCGTCCTCCAGGGAGAGAGTGTAACGAGGGATAGGCTCCCCAGGCCGCAGCCTCACATGCAGGCATCGGAGTCAGGACAGGGGTGCTTTCTCAGGGCTATAAGTGCTTTTTGGTTGAAGGGAGGTGCGGGATCAGGGGTCCAGAAGAAGCAGTTATCTTGGGGATCCATGGGTTCGTGTATACTCAGAAAGTCGGAGTCTCCAACAGAATCGCAGTTGGCCTGTGCAACCGTCAATGTCGAGGGCTTGGACTTGGGGTCTTCATCTGGTTTTAGGGTTCATCCGCCGGGTTCGGTGTTGGCTCCAGGTTTCAGGTTGTCGAGCTTCGAGTCAAGCCAAGAGTTGAGGTTGAGCTTTTCTGATGTAGAGTCCTGGAGCCGGAATGCTACGAGGCAACTCCTTGGGGTGTTGTCGCAGTGAGACTCTTGGGTTCGGGCTGAAGGTGATAGGCATTGAACTTAGAGCTTTTCTCTGACGGATCTAAACCCTTGCTGTTTGGGCGCAAGGTCTTTGAGGGCACTCTGGGACCGTGGCTTCTCATGACGAAGGCCCCGTAGTGGCACCCTCAAGTAGGTGTTCCTCAGCCGGAGCCGCGAAGCCAGAAGTGCACAGAGTGGCTTGCCACCTCGTAATCCCAAATTGTTCCTGTCGTCCCTGCCGTCTAGATGTTACCGTCTGCATCATTGCAGAGAACACATCCTTGCAGAAAGGGCGCTTCTTCAGCAGCAGGTAGCTTTGACCTGAATCAAGCATCTACACTGTGCTCGCAGCTGCAATGACTCTTCTTGCAACCCACCTGCTCGATTTTTCTCCAAGTCAGCGCCGTCACCAACAACCTGTCGAGACTGGAAGAACCGCACCAAGTGAGACCGCTGTATCGCGATGGATATCGGGCCACAGGTGGTGGGCAGTGTGTAACGGTGTAAGATCGCACCCCGAGCCTCAATCCCTGTCGGGAGGCAGTTCTTGGTAAAGCGGAAGTCCTCTCGATCTCGTTGCTTCGGGGTCTCGAGTTAGGATTGGGCCGCGGATGTGCAAGCTTTTATCTAAAAGACCCCCGGGTCATTGAAGCTGCTATCGCCAGAGTAGCCAGTAGCATCGCGCGTTACCTTGGCCCACTCCAAAGCACCGTGGATCATGAGAAGGCTGTCAGTGGGATGTTGAGACAAGGGCATGTGACATCGAACAGAAGTTGGGTGCGTGGCACGCTCCAAGGGCCGCAATCTTGTGTTGGCAACCCGCTTGGTGCGACCATCCTGCATGTCGGACAGCGCGAGAGTTAAAGCCTTCAGACAGATGGTGATGTATGTTTCCGGCAGGAAAGAGTAAGAGGCCGGAACGACAACAGCGTCGATTCCAACCCTACGGGGCACAGAGACTAGAGTCTCGACACATTGTGCAGTTGTCGCTGCTGCTTTCCATCCTGCAGCAGGCAAGCCCAAAATCCCAAGGCGGACGGAAGCTGCCTCGTATTTCACATTGGTTTCGCTCTCACCGAGCTCCAAGATCACCTCAATTCCGGGTTGGGGCATCGGGAATGGAAGGAAAGACTGAAGTCTTAAGCTCACCCGTAGTTGCACTCGGAGCTTTCCTGAGGCAGCGTCTCCGATACAGACCTTCTTTTTCTTCTTTCGCTTCATGTCCTCCAGCAACTGATCTGTTGATAGGAACTCTTTGGTTCGCATACTCGCATAAGCATGATGTTGGGATGACACTGTTGGACTGGGACTTAAGCTGCAAACTTGTGCGTTCAGGAGTTTAAGAAGTGTAGGGGCTGGATTGAAGCTGGAGGGCAAGGACACGGATGTCCCAAGTCTGCGATGTTATGCCATGTCCTGCGAAGTGCTACTGTATACCCTGAGACATTGCATCGAACAGCAATGCTTCCAGGCGTGCGGGGCTCCTCGACTCGCATGTTGACACGGAGCGGCACCCGAACTCGCTCCTTCGGCGTTTGCTAAAGCTCGCTTTCTCAAGGCGGGTGCGACTCGCTGTCGAAAGTCCCTCCTCCTCTTCTTCCTCCTCCTCATCATCACTCCCTGGTGCAAAGGACTTGTAGAGGTGTCATAGCAGCCATAGCAATGAATCGACCAAACTCATCCGGACGTCATGCAACGCCGGCCTTTGTCGACACTTTCCTTGTCGCTCTCATCATCTTCGACCACCGTGAGCGAGGCGCCTCGCACAGGAAAGAAAAAGCATGAAAAAAGACAACCTCCCCAAAACCGCTTAGGGTCAAGTTCAAGGAGACTCGCACTCTGAATTGCTGTGTGCAGTATCGCTCGGAGAAGCACACAAGATATTTAGAGTTGACCTGGAGTCCCTGAGAGGAGCGAGCCCGCCTGGAAGAGAAAGCTCGGGGCCTTCGTGAACGTTCACCACCTCAGACTTAACATTGCAAGCATTCTGTGGGAGCCGTTCTTGGCTCACCGAAGACGAAAGAAACTGCAAGCTCTTCTGGCACTGAAATGTCATGCTATTAGCACGGTGGGCTCGTGAACCTCCCGCACCTCTGTGCCCTCTGCGACGAGCAGTCCCTCGACCGAGGGGCACACACAGATCTGTCGTGCTTTGTCGTCTCCCGGGTGGAAACGGACAGCCTGCTCAAGGTCCGGATGCATCCTCTTGGTCTCGCACCGTCTGCATCAGTCACAAATGCTCGCTTTGCTGCTAACGCCCACATGCCCAACAGGACCTCCATTAGGAGACCCAACTCCGATGGCCGCTAATGGGCACTCTCAGCACGCCGGCCTTCACCACGCCGTTCTTTCCCAGGACGCCCATGAAGCTCCCCTCCCAAGTCATGTCAACTGCCTCCCAGCACAGATGGGGTTTGATTTCAGGATCTCCTAGCTGGAGCTCCGCTCTCGCAGCTCGATAGCCAAAGCCCAAGCTGACCACTGTTGAACTTGGGCCACCCGCCCAAGCAAGCCGCAACGCAGAGAGAGCCTCTAGGTGCTTCTTGACTTCCGCCATGCTGCCACATATTCCTTGAGGCTTTGGAGTTGAGGGTCATGGCTTGAAAGCGGGATGGACACTACTTCTCGATGCACTACACCTCGGCTTTCGTGGGAGACCCGAGATCGAAAAAACCGTGCTTGGATTCTTGGAATTCTGCCGCACTTCAGCGCACCCTGTCCTGGCATCCCCTCACCCCAAACCCTGGCACTTGAAGGGGTCTTCTACTGGCTCCTATTCTTCGCATATAATATGGCAACCACAATCCTTCAGCATCGGTACAGACCCACGTTCCCAGACTAGCTAGCATGAGCTCCGATATCTCCGTGCTGCATCTGCAACCATGCGACGCACGCAGTCGCCCACAAACAACTCGGGCTCTTCCTCCTCATCTTTGTCCTGCAATTGGGGGGAGCGTGTGCTTTATGTCCAGAATGCCGCCCGCGAGAGTTTCTCAAGCCATCTGATTACAAGGGCTGTGTCTCAGCTGAAGCTAGCATCCGTGCCCGTGCAGACTCAGCCCCTCTCCTTCTTCTCGCCTTCACCCTCCTGGCTGCTGAGAAGGAAGAGATTCCAGGGTGTTGGATTTCTGAGTGGTTTCGGTTATGGGGGTATCCCAGAGACAGGGCACGGAGCTCAGGGGTCTCTGCAGTCGATTTTGGCAGGAGCAACAAAAGTGTATCTTTGACTCCACACGGTCTTTGAGCTTTGGTAGTGGGTTTCCAAAGTCAAAGCTCCCGAGGCGTAGCAAACGAACCCTCATTACATTGGCATTGATCCCGAATGTTCTGCAAATACGGCCTCACAGAAAATGCAAGCGATACAGTCTGGGTGCTCATACCGTTGCTGGAATCACCCATCAAATTATGACCCACATGCACGCTTAAAAGAGTAAGGGGCGACAGGGTGACAGGCCTTGCAAGCAATCACTTGACTGCGCCCTCTTCAGCCGCAAGCAAGACTTTGGAGCACCCTCACGACCCTGCACATGTTCCTGAACTTCTTGTCTTGAACCGAAGCCGAAACGAGCGTCAACCACAGCGAGATCCCAAATTCTCCGGCCCAAACCCAGTCCTCAGGCATCGCTGCCGTGTGGCAGAGGCCGTGTCGGGCGGTGCCGTGTCGAGCAGGCACGAGCCATAGGGCTGCGCGTGTGTGAGTTTGGGCTTGGGTCTTGGGTTTGGCAGAGTTTGGCATCGCAGGGATCACAATGACGCTCCTGTCCTTTTTCTGCAAAAACGGGCTTCGATCCCTCTGTCCGCATCACCCACCCGCTCGAGCTGCTCAGCGGAAGCCGACGGCAGCCTGTGCGGGACTGAAAGGCATGTGCACCTTTCGTGTTTGCGGGCTTCAGCTGTTGCAGTTCAGGCCATGTCATGTGAGGAAGTCGGGCTATTACCAGTACAACACATTCGCAGACAGTGCGAAGATTGGATCACTGAGGCAGCCCTCGGCCCTCCGCCTGCCACAGGAAGGCCAACAGGAAGAAGAACACCGGAAGGATCTGGCATGGCTCATGTAGGTTCCACATAGTCTTCCATCATCGTTTCGCGCTAACAGCATCACACAATTCCAAGCTCCAACCCCTAGAGAACAAGCTTGAGCAGCAAGTCGTTGTTGCTGGTGTTGTGGTGGTGGTGATGATGATGATGATGGTGATTGGTAGTGGTGATGGTGATAGTCATGATGATGGTGATGATGATGGTGGTGGTAGTTGTCACCATGCTGGTCATGGTCACGATGAAGAAAGTCATGACATGTCATGATGGTAGAGATGATCACAGTGATAATGAGGCTCATGATGAAGATGATGATGATGATGACGATGAAGATGATGATGGTCATGATGATGGAAGTGAAGCTACCCTCGAGACATTATCCAAGGGCCCCGGCTGGGAGCACGTCCACGATCGGGGCGAAGATCACGAACTCCTGCGGGTGAAAGACTTGAAACCAAATCCATCTCCAAGAGAAATTAGCTGTAACTGGCTTCTTTCATGGCCCGAGCTGCGTGCTGCTCTGTGCCAAATCCTCCGCATGTCGCGCATGTAAAAGAGAGCCTGAGTGTAGCAGCTGTGAATGACCTTTGGATTGTTTAACTCAATCTAAATCTAAACCTCCTTCAATTCATTCTTGCCTCAGGACTGCATGGACGGATGGATGCTGTTTCAGCTCAACCCTGCTTGAATCCATGTCCTGCTTGTCAGAGTACCACAGGACATGTTGCTGACCACAAAACTACACAGCAATCACCCAACAATACATACAGACATACGGATCTGTATATGGGTGTGTGTATGTGTGTGCCCTCAGTACAGAACCTCCTGAACCATAAGCCTCAAAAGCCCCAAGTCTGACAAACTCCACCACCCTGAAACCAGTATCCTCGGCAGCGCAACCCCGCGCCCTAAAAGAAGCACCCTAAATAGTCGGATCCTTACTATAAAGACCCCATAACAAAGTTCCCGTAATTTTTCGGAAACTCCCCCATCGGCCCGATCACGGCACCCCAAGAAGAAGCCTGTTCATGAGAGCTCCTCGGGAAGCCGGGCATGTGCTGCCTCGGGGGTGGCCAGCACAGCCCCCACGGCAGCAGCCTTGGCCACATCCTGAGAAACCTGCTGCAATCCGACATCTTAGAGCTCAAGGATACTGAGGGCTGAGGGTTTGGAAAGTTTAGGGAGAGCTTGGGGAGTTTGGACGTATGGGGGTTTCGAGCTCCAGGTGCCGAGCAGGGCGAGGTCCGCGCTTCGGTTTCTTTTTGGTGTCAACATACGAAACCTCAAGGAGCAACGAGGCTTAGAACCATGGAGCAGAGCGCCTCTCCGCGCAAGTTCTGGCTGTTGCCAGGGCTGACAAAAGCGCTCCTGGGCGGAGGAGAGAGCCACGGCCGCCGGGAGGCCAAATCAAACTTCCAAGAACAGCTGACGTTCGAAAAGGAAAGGATACCCAGAAAGCTCCAAGTGCCCGATTCGAGTCTCCACCCAAGCCTCTAAACCCTCAAATTCTAAGCCGCCAATGCGAAACAAAGTGAAGGAACCCTCACACTGTCCAAGCCTGTGGGATACAAGAGCTTAAACGGCGTAGGCCTTGGGCTAGGTTGCAGGCTGCTTAGACTTAAGATCTGAGTTTCTGAACGCTTTTGCTCCACTCCCGCTCTGAGTCTCGGGGCCAAACGCTTGAAAGCCGACTTTCAAACTTTAAGCCATGAACCCTAACATGCCCAAAGCTTTAAGCACGAAACATCGACCTCAGACCGTTGGACCCCAACCCTAACCCACAAGCCAAATCATGAAGCACTAAACGAAACGTTTCAGTGCGGGATGGACCTTGACAAAGCCATTGGCAACCAATACAAAATGCTATGAAACTGAACCTCTCATGTCTGCCAAAAACAGTTCATGAGGCCCAAGGATCTGGAAGAGGCAGAGCGCCGCCAC